GGTCCCGCTCCCTTGGCAGACTTGATTTACATTCCAGCGAAGAATGCGAAAGGCCTCGCCTTTCTTTGCTCTATTTTCTTTTTTTCAACGCCTCCCCCCACCCCCTTCGTCTCTGTCCTGTCTGCTCGTCCTGTTCCTTCACCTCGTTGGCTTAGACCCTCCAACCCCTTCCCCTCATCCCACCCCACTTATCTTACAGCTCTTTTCTGACGCAGAACTACAACGACAGAATGACACTGTGTATTTACTCGGAGAATCTTGCGAATGATTACAGTTTTTTAGAAACTGAAATGTAATTGAGTATCGGTGAGGAAATTTTGAGGGGTTTCGATGGGAGGTTGGTGTGGACTTTAACCCTTCTATAGTGAAATAGAAAGTTTGAAAGGGAAAGTTAAAACTCGTCTTAAGAATCCAAGGCAAATTGACATTTGGTTTATATTGTTGTATGGAGATTGCTATATGTTGTCTAAGAAAGCTGTATAGTAGAATATCTGTGGCCTAAAAATAGTCCAGGGACTATTTGATATTGATTGTGATACGAAGCAATATCTAAGATCGTCATCCTAATCTATAAACAGTTTACGAGGTTAAATAATTTTTTGCCGAGGGTCTACTCACTTAAGAAGAAACATCACTTTATTATAATACTTGGAATGACCGCGTTTAATCAATAAAAAATGGCGAAAATTCTTATCTTCTACTCGTTATTCGAAACTTTTTATCAAGATAATGAATTTGCCCATCTCTGACGAAATAGGCAAGAGGTGTCGGGAAACGACGAACGAAATCGGTACCAGTCCGTCCCATAAAGCGCCGCCCACATCGCCCGTCACGGGCTTCGAGAGAGACAGGAACGACAGACTACACAGGGAGGAGGGGGAAGAGAACGGATTGCCCGTCGATCGCGTTCACGTAAATCCCCGTTGGCTCGCGCGCACGCTCCTCCGAAGGAGATAAATCAGCCGGGTACGCCGGGTGAAATCGACGGAAACACGATTCGGCGCGATCAAAGGACCCTCTACAAATTGAAACAAATCAGCCGGCTAATAATAATTAATCCGCGGACCGCATTAATTATCGAAAGCCCAGGGCCCCGACGATCCAGCCATCCCCCCCCCCCATGAGCACGAACACGCGGTTTTTGCGCGCAACGGATACGAAAGGGCCCAGGCGTGCGCGCGCGATAATGCGCGAGCCAGAACGCGGCGATACCAAAACTTGAGCTCTCAATTACGCCTGGAGAATTATGACGCCGTGGCCCTTCCACCCCCGTTCATCGGTGGAGGATGTATCCTTTTCTTTGTATCCATCGAGGGGCCCTATAGAGCGGGAGAAACGTACGGACGGAACGCTCCGGGCCAGCTTTGGATTCGCGTCTTCATTAGCGGCTATTAATTGTCGAAATGTGCCACATAATTCAGAGCGCGCGAACCCGACCTGGCTGTATTTAAACTTAACGCGGTCGATTGATTTCTAAATGGTGGGCGACCCGCCCTTAGGGCCCCGAGCTCCCCTCCCCCGTACCTTCGACTTGGGCCCTTGTCTGGCCCGTCTACAATGTTGTTAGATCGGGGGATGGGATTGTAGCTTTGTACCCAGGGATAATATAATCCGCCGTATTTTAGAGATTTTTATACGGCAGAGTCCCAATTATCCGGCCCCCATTTAACCGGTCTCTGCTTTACCCGGGAATCTTTTCCCATTTTCAAGGGGGCCGCGATCTAAGCCTTCCGTTTACGTCAAAGAATAATTAAATGAAATTTTGTTTATTGTTTCCCTTTCGACATAATTAAAAATTGTACTAAACATCTTCCTGTTAAACGTTAAACTTCCATTTTAAAAGGGTTGTACATATTCCATCACTCGGAATCCAACACTGCAATACACAACTAGCAAAGCAACTTCTCTAACCTCTACCAGTTCCACTATCCACCCTACCTCAAGAATTCCACCGTCCACCCCGTTCAGATTCCGTTTTCCCGTCAGATCCCCCACCCCCGACTCGGTCTGTCGCGATAAGCAGCGGCCCTTTGACCTTTCGGTTAAGTTATTACTTTTATCCGACGCGGGTCACGGGCCGCATAAAGGCTCGTTGAGCATTGAATCGACTCTATCAGGCCAATTAAGCCGCGTGCCAACTCCGTGAACAATCGCGTACCCCCCATCCCTCACTTCTCAACCTCCCCCCCACCACTCTCCTGACCAGTTTTTTTCTCTTTCTCTCTTTCTTTCCACCCTGCGTTTGCCACGGTGTTTCTCGCGTGAGATACGGAACTAAAAGAGTCCACAGAGTCCCCGGCTCGTGAATTACCGCGAGGAACATTGCGCGGCCCGACGCTGTCATTACGCGGTTTTTCCCCAGGTTTGTGGTAGGGGGGCGCCCACCGTTGGTAGAGGGGGAACAGGCGAGCTTTCTGTAGAGTTACAGGGTCGTGTAATCGCGTCATCCGAAACGCCCCGCGATTACGTCGGCTCGGATACACGGTCATCGAGTCGGGAAATCATCGGGCCCCTTCTCCCCCCACCCCCTCTCGTAACGCTGGTTTCTTTACAATGTGCCCGGTTGGCCCGCGTTTGCGTGCCTCGTCGCGTATCAATGGACACCGTACACGGTGCGTCCACCCCCTCTTTCTCACTGGTCTGCAGTCGGAGCAGGCGTAGAACGTTTGATTTCGATGGTCTTCGAGGGTAGTTTTATTAATATCTGTACCCCAGTATAATATATTAATATGTGTAATATATTAAATATTAATATATATAATTATAAATTATAATTTTGTGGATTGGTCATTGGTAAATTTAAAAATGATGAACTGCCTCCTGGTCAAGGGTAAATTTTGATTAAATTCTTATATATGTTTTACTAAAGTTTTCGTTAAGAACGCTTGAAAATACTAACTGAACGATGCAGGAAGAAAGTGATACGATACTTTCCACCCCGTCGAGGAAATCGTTGCGTCGCTTATTAAACGCGATACACCTCGTTCCTCTTAAATATCCCGTAATCGGTACGAAAAATCATCGTTGCCCAGGGCTATCGTGACGTGTGTGTGAACCGTTTGCGTGCCCGGTTACATCTCAATGAATGCTACTGCAAAGTCCACTGGAGGAACTTATTTTTCTAAGCAGCCAACCACCCGGCTGGCTTTTTTTCCCCCGATCTTATATAAACAAATTACCCGTTAAATACGATCGAGAGGAGAAACGCGAGGAAAAAGAAGGAGGGGGAGAAGGAATTACGATACGCGTGGTATCTCGAATAAGATTTAATGAGGCTTAACGTTCTTTAAATAACCCCTTTCTTTAAAAAAAAAAATATTCTCTACGTAGTACCTTCTATCGTTTAAATGTTTCACGAAGATCTGAAGATTTCAGGATTCTTTGAACGGTTATAATCATATCTGTGTATTTTATCAGGAAAGTACTAAACGATTAAGAAGATGTTATCTTTATAGTAGTAACGACTGTTTTAATGTTAATAAGTAAGGCACGCGTCCGAATTCTTCAACGATCAATCAACGTGATTCCCAAACTCTGGAAAAACGTGGAGATCATGGAAAAAGGTGAATTAAACGTAAAAAAAAAATTTCCATTCGACTTGCTTTCCGGAACAAAACGATGTCGTTCCACCAACACGCAAGTTCGACATATTTGCCAGAAGAAAACGGCGAAGGGTGAAGAGGGATGACGGGGGAGGTAGGAAGGGTAGGGAGGAGAAGAAAAAAGAAATGACAGATGATGATTTCCCAACGCACACGATGACTGTGCACCAGAAACGCACGCGAACGCTTTTGTGCATAAGATTGTAATTGCAGGAAACGACGAATGATGATTTTCCGATCCGATGATCTCGGGGAAGGGAAACGCGTTACAATATCGCGTTTCTTGTAAACAAATTTCGCGGGGCGATCGCTCGGAACCGTGTGCTTTTCTTCCAGTCCCGTGATTCCCCCGAGAATAGCGTTTCCTAATGGTCTTTCCGACGCACAAATTGAATGGATGAAATCTAACAAGGATAGTGGACACTAAATTATACCGATTATTCGAAAATAGAAAGTAGAAATAATATTCTTGAAGAATTATTTTAGAACTAATATAAAAGTGAACTAGAAACAATATTCTTGTAACGACTATATGACGATATTATCGTACGATGAAAGTTCAAGCCAAGAAACGTCAATGGGGCTCTAGCTTCAATCCCTTCGGAAGGGTCCCCTATTCAGGGTGGTGAGAAACTAGGCGTCGCCTAGTTTCTCCCGTGGTGTCGGAGCAAGGAGAAAAACACGCCCTGAAATTTGACAGAATTACAGAGGGACAGGGGTTGGACGATGTAATCCACGACACGGTGGAGGGGAACGTGGACATTGGATGGGAGGCGTAAGAGGGTCGCGGCCAACCCCCCGATGATCGGTCGCTCCTTCTGAAAAATGCACGGCGACAGGAGGAGGGTGCGCGTCTCCACCGTCAAGGGGGATGATACTTGCGTAAACGTGACACGTGGAACGAAACTGACGGGACTGGCGTGACCGGGAGAGCCGGTTGAGTGTGGACACAAGTCGAGCGAAGATAAACCAACACCGAGGGCACTGGTTTTGTTGCCTAGAATTACGGAATATAGCTAGAGAATGAAAACGGGGAAAAGTATCACCGTTACGTCGAATAAATAACATCGTTTCCTTCGGTCAGATGGACACGCGATCGACGTTTGGATGATTCGTGACATCCTGGATGTGACATCCCGACGTTCGAGGTGGTTTGAACTGAGTTTGTCCGGAGAAATCGGGATTTGATGGGTCTTACGGAAAGTCTGAGGTATTTTGTCTATTTTGTGGTCCGTTTTGCAGAGCGTTGGATGTGTTTGACAATGTTTGACCGTGTGTGAGGTTGTTGGATAGGGTTTGATTATTGTTTGATGTAAATTGGATCAAGTAAACTTCACGCGTAGATGGAATCTAGAGTGGATGAAGAAATGTGTTAGTAATTTAGTGAACGATCTCTACCTGATGGAAGCCAAGGTAACTTTCTATGCTGTGGGTGGCGAAGAACACTTCCCCGTCACAGGTGAGGATGAGTAGGAACCCGTTCAGCGCCTGAAACAAAACGAATTATTTTATGGAGATTATTGTATGTCTGCGTCTTTAACTTCTCTTGCAGTATCCTGAATATTGGATACCTTAGGTAACGAATCGACTGATAGAAAAGTGAAATACAATACAAATCAGTAGAATTATCGAGTCAGGGATGCGATGACAATTTCAATCTGGATTTAGACAATTTCACAAAAATCGTATGGCAAGGGGTTAATACTTTCGATTATCTGATTGTTTTCTCTTTCGACAGCGTTTAATGTGTATTACCAACGACGAGAAAAGCCGCCGAAAAAATTTCTTTCGTAACCTACAAAGTACCACGGCGGAGTGCTCGTTTCCTTTCCGAAAACACGGGTTGTCTGGCTCGCTGAAAACGTTCCGGAAAGTTTCCCCATTTATCGACGTCCCGATAGACTTGCCCCCTGGCTTTCGAATACTGAAAACGAGCTCGAAACTCGAACGTTAAACCTATCGTATCGAAGCCCGAAATATCCCCGTCCCAGTTTAAACGGTCGTGTTGGTCTGTACACCGTCGACACGGGGAGTCGTTTAAAGCCACGTCGACTCGCTTTGTTGCGGGGGCTAAATGTGTACTGTTTTGTTTTATTTCGAGCCAGGTTGCCGTAGGTGCCCGTACCTGGCACGCCAGCGCTGAGACTTTATTGCGTCTGAAATATGAACAGAGACCACCGGTTCCACCCAGTTGTCTCTCGGTTCGGACGAGTTATCACTGAATTTTTCCACCATTCTCGGAATAGAATAAAATTCTACATTGAACATTTTATTACCGTAGCATTTTATCTTGATTCAAACAAATTTAATTCATCTAAATTCGAGGCAACGGAACTGAAAACTCCGAATACTGTTGAACTCTACACAAAACCTTGAAGCAAGAACAATCAGAAAATTTTCTATATCATTAATCTTTACTCTTTAACATTTTCTTGTAGTCTGTGACACGTCGATTTCTAAGTCAGTATAATTTCTTAGATAACAGCAGAATGTGCTTTGCAAAATTCATCTATACTTTATATCATTTATTATCCCTGTTTTGTATATTTTTAATTTCAGATAAACAAGATTTCGAAGTAACGTGCTGGTAGCAAACACACGTGTTAATTTGGAATGTAATAGAAAGAAAACCATAAGAACCTGTCTCCCTTTCTGTTCACCCTCTAATTCCACAAGAGCCTAAAAAGTGTCTCACCCCTCGATAGGAGGTGGCTTGAAACCCACCCCTAGCCTCCAGACACTATAACCGATTGACCCAGGAGGGTGGGGGACGGATATCGAAGTGATCGCATGCGCGACGGATGCTGCGATTTGATTGGTTAATCCGGAGGGTGGGTTTCTCTGGTGGCCCGCGTCAATACGGACCCCCAGCGTAGGGTGAGTTACCCACGATCCAGTCCCCTGTATCCGGAATATAAGTTGTAATAGGATTTTCTCGTTGCCTTTTCGGCCCCCACTTGCAGCCACGAAATGGCCGACATGGCCATTTCTATAAAACGTGCCCTTCCCCTTGGGATCCTCTGTAATCGGTTTGATTGCGTTCGATCCAATAAAATGGGATCGATCTCGTTTCAGACGCCTACAATACAATGGAGAAACGAATCAAAATGAGAAGATTCGTTCAGAACCTATATTGAATGTAAAGGAAAGTTCTGTCGTTTTGAAACGAATCTAAGCTTTTAATGATTTGTCTGTTCTCTCTCATTGTGCCTGAAACATTATCATCGATATGTGATGGTCTCCCTGATCTGGATTTTCCTTTGAATGAAATGTCACCACTATGAAATTCCTCGAACCATCTTTGACAGGTTCTTGGGTTTACTGCGGATCCACTAAATACACCACAACAAATTTTGTACTGCTTGGACAGCATTACTTCCTTCATAATACTAATACAATATACAGTGACCCGAATGCTCGTCTGAATCGAACATTGTGAAACTGATTAATATAAAAAATAATTAATTCACTTGACTAATTTATATTACTGAATATAATAGAACAGTTAACCTAAAAACTGACGTACGTTTTATTTCAATACCTGTTGCCATCTATTAGCTAGAAGTTCCGAAAATTGACAAAATAAAAAACGACAGAACTTTCCCTTACACCCAATAAAAGAATTCTAATCTGTCACTTGAATGATCCTCGATGTATGATGTCCAAATTAGGGATGATTCATGGAAGATAAGGGTCGAACACGAAAAATTCAATGGTTTTTCTATTCTTTTCGCGTGAGCTGACCGGTAAAATCAGTCGCGTGCCGGTTGCCAGAGTACTCGCGTGTTCCGTCCAAGCGTGAACTTCTAATACCCCTTCATCCTCACCTTGACTCTCGTGTATTAGCGGGTCGCCAATAATACTTCACGCACGAAATCTTTCCCTTTTCTTCGCTCATGCAACCGCAGAGGAGTCACGGGCACGAGACGCGCGCCTCACCGGTGTATATGCAGATCCTAGAAATAACTAGGATCGGAATTACAGCTTTCGATACAACTGGTGCACCTTTGACTCTCAACGGCCACATGTAATTTTCCGACTAATTCGTTTTTCGCTCGTGCACATCGTTAACGCTCTACCGGGAATCGGAGCCTACAGTGTATTCCACTTCGATCGTGCAGAATCGCTGTGAATGACGAAAAGTGTCGCAGGTAAAAAGATTGTTCAGTTTCATTATGTCATTTTCTAATACGTACATCGAAAATACAGAAAAATGTCATAAGTCGATGTATATGGATTTATTGCGATTTTCACTTTGCAAACCATAGTAAAATGAAGATTCTAATTTATGAATTACGCCATTGGTATTTTCAAGATCCTAGTACTGAACAATGTATTATGATAGGGTAAACCAATCAGTAATTGACTGCATACCAGTGAATGACCATTAGGCACAGAAATGTAAATAATAAATTTAAAATTGTTAAATCTTTATAGTATAATTTTTATAAAAGATATTTCAGAAATGCAGCAGTCATTATCTAGGCTTTTACACGTTTTGTACTTCATAAATAATTTTTTTTAAATTACGATAAGAATAAGTAATTATTTTTGTAAAAATTTCCATTAAAATAAATGTAATTGCAACAGCTGTTTCAAATGCAAAAATGTGTAAGTAGCTCCGTAAAATGTGAGAATAAATACAAAGGGCGACCCGACTCGTCTTCCCCAGCCAGGAGGTTAATATTAAACGGCCATTTGTATTTTTTGTAATTTTTTTGTATCGTACGTGTTAGAGCCTAGTAATAAATTTAGATAATTTGATAAATGGTATAAATAACCAGGCTTACTCTGGTTATGCCTTAAAAAGTTTAATGAATCTCATGCTCGATGCTCATGCGCTGCATAAATCAGATAATCCATGTACGTTTCTGCGCCGCGTCTGAAATTTCATTAATACAAATAGAACGGGACTTTCTTTCACGGAGACTGCGTTTCACGAGTAAGAAATGCAATTATAAAGTTGTAAAATTAACACACAATTCTTGACGATCACCATGATCGCGCACATTATATACGATATCGTTCTAAAATTTTGAAACAATAAAGCAAAATATTAAACAATCAAATTACAAAATTTTATTACGCTTTTATTTTTAGTCACATATGACCAAGAATATTGTGATAGCTAGAAAAACTATTTTTCATTATGCGGTGGATTATTTTCTATTTAATTCTTTCTATATACACATTTAAAATCGTGTAACATAAAAAGTTTCTTTTTGTATATGTGTAAAAATATTGTTGGGTTCAATCACCGAATTCGATCACTGAACAAAATCCCCCTGGAGTAGCGAACGCATCAGCTTCACGAGGTTTGGTCGAACAGCAATAATTACCAAGGCAGAAGAATCCTTCTCGCGTGCAATACGAAAGGGGTGGCGTGGCCCATCGGGCCCGACAGCTTCACCAGCTGCAACTTTGTCGTTCGTGCGTATACGGTCGCCGATAAGCGTCTTTTCTGTCACGGCATGAATGTAGTATCTATATACGCGATATCGTTTAATAAATTTGCAGCTTTCAACGTGTCCGGCCGGCGATTCTTTCGACGTATTGCCGTTCGGTGTTTTACTAATTAAGCCTTTTCATATGTCGTGTCTCGCAAGCTGGACAAACAACGTCCCTAAATGGGCTCGGCAAATTACAGACGCATACACGTTAACGAAAAACAATTCGACTATCGTGTCATCTAAGAACTCACTTATTACATAGGCAACGTCACACACCCTACTGACCCATTTCAGGGACCTAATTTTTTTGTAGGTGAAGACATAGAGAAACTATGATGGTCAACTTTATTTTTTTAAATGGAACCACATATACTGTTTAATGAGGTGATCGATTAGTACAGAGTTAGAAGCACTTAAATTCCGCGTATAGCTACATTGGAATTAAATACTCTCTTGTAATAAAAGTTAACATATCTCCATCTTAACCATTATTTACAGGGAATGATGAGCTGCATCGTTCAATGCATTAAAAAAGTTGACTTTCAACTTTGGTTTGTGACAATTTCCGGTACCACAAATAATTTTAGAGATATTTGAGGGGACCAATTTAAATGGGACACTCTGTATATCCGTCTCATAATGTTAAAATAACGATTTAAGGGACTGGGCGTTAAAGGGCTAAAATCGCTGACGGAACGTCGGAAAAAAACTGTCCGTCTCGAACATCCGAACGACACGAAGTATAAAATAATAATAATCGTGATAATAGCCCACCCGAAAGGTTTCATGCTCGACCGTAATTAATTACAGACTCCATAGTTGGAGGGGGAGTAGGTTGCAAAGAGGCGAATACGAAAGAAAAATGAAGAAAACAAAATCTCACGATATTCTTCTCCCTTTTTCTACGTCTGAGACGGTTCGCGGATGACTAGGCGATAGACTTCCGGAAACCACAGCGCGGCAAAAGTCGCTCGAAAGTGTTTTACGGCTGGGAATGATTAATCACATCTGCATCTGTCCGCAGCATAACAATCAGCC